TATCTATCTGGAGAGAACTTCACAGCAACTCTCTTCTTTAGAGCTCTGTGAGTGTTCAGAATATCTCCTTTCAAGACTCTAACTCCCCAAAATCCAGTTCCCTTAGGAACGCCCTAAAACACAATCCCCCCCCCCTTAACTTTCTCAACTCTAACTGTCCACTAACTGTCAGCCTGCACTTTTTAAATGCTCCCAGCTGAAATCCCATTGGCTGGCTCTCAGCTGCCTCCTGATTGGCCAGCTGGATATTCTATTCACCACATCCACCACTTTCCACTGTTTTACGCCGTAAGCCACTTTGAATCCCAATTTTGGAGGGTGCAAAACATCATCATCATCATCATATAAAAGAGGTCCAAAACATTATGTCTGTGTGTTTGGGGGGTGGTGGGTGGTTTTTTGTTTTTGTTTTCATTTTTCAAGTCACACTCTCTCAGCCTTAGGGGAAAGCAATGGCAAACCTCCTATGAACCAATCTTGCCAAGAAAACCCCATTAGCATTGCCTTAGGGTCACCATAAGTCAGAAACAATGTCAAGGTGTGCAACAACAATTCACTGTTCTCTTTACACCAATGTTCCCATACTTCCCCCTCCCTCGAATTCTGAGAGTTGCAGTCCTATCTCTTACCCCCCCCAAAAAAACTCTAGGAGTTGTAGTCCTCCCCTCCCGGAATAATGGAAGCTGCAGTCCTTCCTTTCGGAATTGTGGGAGCTGTTGTCCTCTCTTCTCTCAAGGATGCTGGAAGCTGCAGCCCTCCCTCTCAGAATCCTGGGACTTGCATTCCTCCTCCCTCCAGGATGCTGAGGGATGTAGTCCTCCTCCTCCTCCCAGCATCCTGCATTCCTCCCTTTCAGGATGCTGAGACCTGCAGCCTTCTCTGTCCTCCAGGATGCTGGGACCAGTTGTCCTCCTTCCTCCAAGGATTCTAGGACCTGCAGTCAGTTGGTCACCACTTTAACAGCCATGGCTCAATGTGATCGAATTCTGGGAACTGTAGTTTTGTGAGATATTTAGCCTTCTCTGACAGAGAGCCTCGGTGCTACAATGAACTGCAGGTCCCAGCATTTCATAGCTTTGAGCCATGGCAGTTAAAGGGGTGTCAATTTCCAGTCCAACCCCATTCTGCCATGCAGGAAGACACACTCGAATCATCTCTGACAGAAGACTATCTAGCTTCTGTTAAAAAACCTCAAAAGGAGGAGACTCCATCACACTCCAAGGCAGCCTATGAACAGTTTGTATTGGCAGGAAGTTCTTCCCAATCCATTTGAATCCATTTAATCATCTTCTAGTCTCTGGAGGAACAGAAAATACATCAGCTTGCTCCATTTTCTACATGACATCCCTTCAGATATTTCAAGATGGCTCTCATATCACCTCTCAGTCTTTGGTTTACCACGCTAAACCTAGCCACCTTCTTCAGTCGTTCCCCGTAAGGCATGGCTTCCAGATCTTTGATAGTCTGAGAGTCATCCTTCTCTGGACATGTTCCATCTTGCCAATCTCCATGAACCATGGTGCCCTGAATCTCCAGGA